AACAACAGCTTCCTTGATTTCCTTTTACTTTGCCACAATGGATGATATGGTTGTATGGGGTTTGTTATACATCCTGGCCAGTTCGGCCACACATACGCCACTTTCATATTGTTCAATGATGTTTTTCTTAAATTCAATCGTATTTCTCACCTTCTTTACCAAAGGCTTGGCACTAGGAGCTTTCTTTGGAGCCATGGTAGCTTATTTAGCACTTGCAAACACTAAAATTAATGGAATATTATGAAATACAGTGGACCTCCGCATAACGATCACCTCCGAATGCGACCAATTATGTAAGTGTATTTATGTAAGTGCGTTTGTACGTGTATGTTTGGGGGTCTGAAATGGACTAATCTACTTCACAATATTCCTTATGGGAACAAATTCGGTCAGTACTGGCACCTGAACATACTTCTGGAGTGAAAAAATATCGTTAACCGGGGGTCCACTGTATTTCATATGAGCAAGTGAGGGGACCGTCACTCACTGGTAAACAATGACACACTGGCTGGGAAGGGAGGCCGAGGCGGCTCAGAGCCATGAGTACGCATCCAGGATGAAAGACGATTAGTGAGTCAACCGACCATTTGCGAGCCAATGTTTGGACGAAAATAATGCGACGATTTCCGAAAAGGACGACTATCAAGCCCAATGATTATCGAGGGACCACTGTACAGTGGACCCTCGCCTAACGATATTAATCCGTTCCTGAGAGCTCATTGTTAGCCGAAATTATCGTTAGCCTAGTTAATTTTCCCCATAAGAAATAATGGAAATCCAATTAATCCGTTCCAGACAGCCAAAAGTGTTAAAAAATTAATTTTTTCATGAAATATACATTTCCCTACAAAGAAAACAATAAGACATGCACAATAACTACATAAATAAATGTTAAAATGACACTTACCTTTATTAAGAGTATTGATGAGTGATGAGACACTGTTTTTCTTGAACACTGGGATTTTCAGAGTGATACATGAGTAAAGACTTCACTTTGCAATCCCCACTAGCATTACAACAAAACATGAGAGTTAGCCTGTCTTTCATAGGCTTGTGTCCTGGGAGTGCCTTTTCCTCCTGAGTAATGTAGGTCCTGTTTGGCATTTTCTTCCAGAACAGGCCTGTTTCGTCACAATTGAACACTTGTTGGGGGATGAATTTTTCAGCTTCGCCATGCCTTATCACACTGTGTATGCCACTACAATTCTTAAATCTCTCAAACCAACCTTTGCTGGCCTTAAATTCACCAATATGAGCACTAGTTCCAGGCATTTTTTCCTGTTCACCTGGGTGTTAGTTGACTGTTGTGGGTCGCATCCTTGGGGACAAGATTAAGGACCCCAATGGAAATAAGTTACAGTTCTCGATGATACACTGGCTTTCTTGGGTTATCCTGGGTGGCTAACCCTCTGGGGGTTAATCATTTCTCAGTAATTGTTTCACGTTAAAACACACACCAAGAACACTCTCTCCACATCTTTGAGTAGTACAGCTGATGGTGGTGGAGCAACAGCTGACTGTGGTGCAGCAACAGCTGACTATGGTGCAGCAACAGCTGACTGTGGTGCAGCAACAGCTGACTGTGGTGGAGCAACAACTGACCGTGGTGCAGCAACAGCTGACTGGTCCAGCAACAGCTGACTGATCCAGCAACAGCTGACTGGTCCAGCAACAGCTGACTGATCCAGCAACAGCTGACTGGTCCAGCAACAGCTGACTGGTCCAGCAACAGCTGACCAGTCCAGCAACAGCTGACCGTGGTGCAGCAACAGCTGACTGGTCCAGCAACAGCTGACCATGGTGCAGCAACAGCTGACTAGTCCAGCAACAGCTGACGGTGGTGCAGCAGCAGCTGACTGTGGTACGATAGTATTTCTCACCCTTTTTACCACAGGGTTGGCACTAGAAGCTTTCTTTGGGCCCATGGTGGCTTATTTAGCAGTTACAAGCACTATAAACAATGGAATAATACAAAATGTATCGAATGTATGCATGCAACCGGCCACCCTAGCTTGTAAACAATGACAGCAGTGCTGGATGGACAGGTTCGGGACGAGTCATATTGGTCAGAAACAGCTGACGGTGGTGCAGCAGCAGCTGACTGTGGTGCAACAGCAGCTGACAGTGGTGCAGCAGCAGCTTGTAGACAGCCTGTACTCTCTGCACAGACAGCCATGCTGCCAGCTTAGTTCATATTTTGCGCCACTCAGGTGTTGCCTATGGGCCTGTCCAGGTCTGTGGGAAGCTGGTCCCACACTCACTCACTAACACAGTGGCCTAGAAGGAAGACACAAGGCCTAGTAGCTCTCTCCTCTCGTGGGATGGCCCTGCCCGAGCCATGGGCACAACACACAAGCCTGTGTACCCACCACGACATTACAAATAAAGTAAGAAGCCTCCGAAGACGTATCATTTACACCCCGCTACCAGCATCACCAAACAATCTCATTAAACAAGCTGACCGTGGTGCAGCAGCAGCTGACAGTGGTTCAGCAACAGCTGACTGGGGTGCAGCAGCAGTTGACCATGGTGCATCAACAGCTGACGGTGGTGCAGCAAACTAATACAGCAACAGCTGACCGTGGTGCAGCAACACCTGATTGTGGTATGATAGTATTTCTCACCCTTTTTACCACAGGGCTGGCACTAGAAGCTTTCTTTGGCCCATGGTGGCTTATTTAGTAGTTAAAGCACTATAAACAATGGAATAATACAAAATGTATCGAATGTATGCATGCAACAAGCCACCCTGGCTTGTAAACAATGACGGCAAGGCAGCTGAGGCGCTCAGGCTGGACGGGCAGGTTTGGGAGGAATCATGTTGGGCGAGTTTTTTATTGTTAAGCGAGCCAAAATTTTTACACTCAAATGCTTCGTTAGGCGGATTTAACGTTATGCAATGCATTCGTTAGGCGAGGGTCCAATGTATTACGAAATGTATTGTATGAAAGCATGAGATCATCCTCACTCGCTGATAAACAATGGCACACTAGCTGGGAAAAGAGTGTGGGGATGCTAGGGGCCATGTGTACGCGTCTGGGACGAATGACTACTTGAGAGTCAAAGGACAATTCGCGAGTCAATATTTTGAGGAAAAAAGTTATGATTTTTGAAAATTACAACTTCCAATGCTTACGAAAAATGAGGGTCCACTGTACAACCATAAAATCCATACAAAAATACACCGCAAAGTCGCTGTTTTACACCAAAAACACGATCATAGTTTTTTTCTCGTGCACTGTGTGCTGCAGGATTTTTTTTATATACTGCACACTTACCACACAGACCTATTCTCTCATATGTAGGCCCAAATTTAACAGTCACAGCTTATCTCAGTGAGCTGAGCTCATGGCGACCGACAGTGGCTTCAAAGCCACCTTATCTTTTATGGACAATGTATGGCATATGTGCTTTGCACAAAGAGAAGCATATCTTTTATTCGTTAGAACCATGGCTTGGGCTAAAAGTGAGCAAGTTATAACAATAAATGGAAAAAAAGAAATTTGAATGACTTATGCAGCAAGTAGCACCACCAAACAGTAGCAGAAGGTTGGTGTGGCGATCCCAGAAATTTGAAATTATGCTAGCCAAAATTAGTGCCAGAGTACTGATGGAACCAGATTACTGATTGCCGGATTAGTGATGGCTGACCTGTAGTACGATATTATATACTACACATGTACTGAAAAATTTAATAAAATAAAAAATAATTATAGTTAAATATGCTAAAAGTGTTAAAAGCATATCAACCCTCTCAAAACTGTACTGTATATTAAGCATAATTTCTATATGTGGAGGGACATAAACTAAATATTCTATACCCTCAGATGGTGCTCTCTCCAGCATTGGCCATTGACTGCCAAAGAAAACACACTCACTATCATTCATTCAATAGCTGTCTTGCCTTGTATGCTTCTAAATTAAACCTAAAAAATTACACAAATATGATAAGTATATTTTTCTATGCTTTGTTATCACACAGAACACAAGATGAGAATTACACTGCTCAAAATTCCATTAACATAGTCACTGTTTTCCAGTTGCTACTGATGTTACTTGATTTCTGACACATGCTTACATGCCTGTCTTGGATGACAAAAAAAAAAAAATTATTTACCACATTTCGCAGCATATTAGACGCACTTTTTTTCCATAAAATGTCTCCAAAAACCACCCTGCATCCTATAAACTGAAGGTCACTGATGGTAGCTATAAGTTCGGGGTGTGGGGTGGGCTGCAGCTCTCCTAGTTATGTCCGATGCCAAGCCATTGAAACTCAAAACAAGTCCAGTGTTTCAAAATTACAGAAATTAATAACGTTTTGAGACAAGCTATTTATGAAATACGGATACAGTACTGGGATAGTGACAGAAAACAAAATTCCTCCTTAAGTAACAACTTCTTTTCTTATTTTTTAAACTACAGAAATCACAAAGCAGCGTCATTTAGGATAGGCACTTTAAAATAATGTTACCATAAACTACGCTATCGTTAACACATGCTGGGTATTTTCACTTTATTACTTGGTACCGGTAATCATATTTACTGTATGTTATGGTACTCATAGTGTCAAATATTGCCAAGCAAATATGGTGGCCCAACAACAGCTGAAGCAGCCATTTTTGTTTATACTGATAGTCACTGACAAAGATGCATCAGTATGCACTCTGGGACCCTTACTATATAGAGTTGTGCACACATCAGCAACTCAGCCATCAGCGACTGTTTCACCAGTTCAAATTGAGAGATCATCAGAGTATTCAGATGAGCACTAGGCCTATCATATGTTTTGACCTACCCATAAATCAAACGTAACCTTATTTCTTATTGTAAAATTGCCATATGTTTCAGTGGAGTAATTATTACTTGGTATTAGCACTCCTAACTTTTTTCTGATTATTACCTTCTAAATTGGGATGCGTCTAATGCATCAGAGCATCTTATAAGCTGCGAAATACGGTAATAACTGATAGAAAACATAACTCAAGTATACCCATTACCATTTCCACCAGCATTAGTTGACTCACTAGGGTTCTCCTGCCGCTCATTGGCTCTCATAGTGTTGTTATACTCAGCACTGCGAGGAGCAAGCGTTACACACTGGGGATTGAATGTCCAGGTCTTCCCTTCCACATTAACTCGCAAATCACCATCAGGATACACTCTTGCAACTACTCCACTCTTCCCAAGTGCCTGTGCAATAAAACTTAGCCTGTAAAACCTTATTAGTACAGTACTTTACACATACTTTGCTAAATATGATCTTCACAAAAACTCCACACATTTACTCCTAATTTTCCCAACCTTACACCATTCTTTCCAAGTTTTTTTTTTTTTTTTTTTTTAACAAGTTGGCCATCTCCAACTGAGGCAGGGTGACCCAAAAAGAAAGAAAATCCCCAAAAAGAAAATACTTTCATCATCATTCAACACTTTCACCTCACTCACACATAATAACTGTTTTTGCATAGGTGCTCAGAACACAACAGTTTAGAAGCATATACATATAAAGATACACAACATATCCCTCCAAACTGCTAATATCCCAAAACCCCTCGTTTAGAGTGCAAGCATTGTACTTCCCATTTCCAGGACTCGTCCGGCTATATAAAAATAACCGGTTTCCCTGAATCCCTTCACTAAATATTACCCTGCTCACACTCCAACAGATCGTAGGTCCCAAATACCATTCGTCTCCATTCACTCCTATCTAACACGCTCACGCACGCTTGCTGGAAGTCCAAGCCCCTCGCCAACAAAACCTCCCTTACCCCTTCCTTCCAACCTTTTCAAGGACAACCCCTACCCTGCCTTCCTTCCCCTATAGATTTAAATGCTCTCCATGTCATTCTACTTTTATCCATTCTCTCTAAATGACCAAACCACCTCAACAACCCCTCTTCAGCCCTCTGACTAATACTTTTATTAACTCCACACCTTCTCCTAATTTCCACACTCTGAGTTTTCTGCATAATATTTACACCACACATTGCCCTTAGACAGGACATCTCCACTGCCTCCAACTGCCTCCTTGTTGCTGTATTCACAACCCAAGCTTCACACCCATATAAGAGTGTTGGTACTACTATACTATTGGTACTACTGGTACTACTATACTATTTGTAATATTGCTAGCAAAACTGAACTACTATTCTAACAAATTTACTGAAGTCTTATCTTACCCAGTATTTTTGTATGAGTTTTTTTTTTTTTTTTTTTTTTTTTACAAGTCGGCTGTCTCCCACCGAGGCAGGGTGACCCAAAGTGAAAGAAAATCTCCAAAAAGAAAATACTTTCATCATCATTCAACACCTTCACCTCACTCATACATAATCAGTTTTTGCAGAGGTACCCAGATATAACAGTTTAGAAGCATATATATAGATATATAACATATCCCTCCAAACTGAGGTTATCACACTACAGTGGACCCCCGGTTAACGATATTTTTTCACTCCAGAAGTATGTTCAGGTGCCAGTACTGACCGAATTTGTTCCCATAAGAAATATTGTGAAGTAGATTAGTCCATTTCAGACCCCCAAACATACACGTACAAACGCACTTACATAAATACACTTACATAATTGGTCGCATTCAGAGGTAATCGTTATGCGGGGGTCCACTGTATATTCAAACAGATTTAGGTTTTTTCAATCAGAGGGGAATACTTAACCCATAGGGATGATGTAGCCCCAAGGGGAACAGGAGGCAATCAGGTTTAATCCATGAAAGGAAAGGGCAAGTCCAGTTCCTTGGCTTAAGAACCCCTGACCAGTTTCAAGGCCTTTTCCTTAAAGGAACATTCATGCAGAATAGGATTATAATTGTTTATTATATAGATTAGTTATTAGTTGTGATCCTAATGATCCCTCAATCAATTACATTATTGCCCCTTATGCATATATGCATAAGGGGGCATATATGCATATATGCTTGTACAACAAAGTTGTACAAGCAAGTGACATGTATTGTGAATGATTCTGTATAGTGGTAGTGTGTGTAAATGGTGGGAGGGCAGGCTAAGAACATATCTACTGAAAACTTCAGAATAAATAATCAAATTAATTTTGTTAGGTTAATCTGCATAATTTTGCTGACTTTATTTCCACACTTATGAAGTGCAGTATCTAAACAGCAAAATAGTAGAACTTGACTAAAATATGCAAAATAGTCCCCTCTTTCATTAAGAAACAATTACTGGATTTTTTAATAAGCAATATTTGTTAAAATTAATTTATATAATGAACAACTGTATACTGATCCATAGGGTGGAAGGCATGAGACATTGGACTTTAGAAGAGGGAATTTTGAGGAGAAAATTCCTGAATTTAGTGCAATGGGATAGAACCGGAAGGAAAGTTAGCAGATGAGATGAAGTACCTAGCCGGAAAATGCCAGTAGACAGAGGAGAACTTCATACCCAGATGTAGAAATAGCAAGAAAATAAGAGAGCCCTTGGTTCAACCAGAGATGCAAAGGCAAAAAAAGAGAAGAATAAGGGTGTGGAAAACTACAGACAGCAAAGAACAGAAATAAGCATATTATGCAGAAATGACTATGCTAGGGTGAGGAAGTGGAACCATCTGGAGAATGAAGTCATAGAAGAATAGTCTATACAGAGCATTAAGAAGAGGTACAATAAAGTTCATGAAGCCAGGAGTGAACCTAGTAGCAATCGGCGAACAGACAGGGGAAGGAGCGGAGACCTGACCCCTGTAATCACATGTAGGTGAGCAAACACCCCCCGCCCCCCCCACACACACACACACTATTGCCATTCATATCACTTCTCGGAAATGTTTGCATGTTTTCTCCCTCACTGTGTCACTCTGATTTTTGCTCTATGGTGTCTTTAGTAGTTTTTTTTTTTTTTCAACAAGTCGGCCGCCTCCCACCGAGGCAGGGTGACCCAAAAAAGAAAGAAAATCCCCAAAAAGAAAATACTTTCATCATCATTCAACACTTTCACCACACTCACACATTATCACTGTTTTTGCAGAGGTGCTCAGAATACAACAGTCTAGAAGCATACACATATAAAGATACACAACATATCCCTCCAAACTGCTAATATCCCAAACCCCTCCTTTAAAGTGCAGGCATTGTACTTCCCATTTCCAGGACTCAAGTCCGACTATATGAAAATAACCGGTTTCCCTGAATCCCTTCACTAAATATTACCCTGCTCACACTCCAACAGATCGTAGGTTCCAAATACCATTCGTCTCCATTCACTCCTATCTAACACGCTCACGCACGCTTGCTGGAAGTCCAAGCCCCTTGCCCACAAAACCTCCTTTACCCCCTCTCTCCAACCCTTTCGAGGACGACCCCTGTCCCGCCTTCCTTCCCCTATAGATTTATATGCTTTCCATGTCATTCTACTTTGATCCATTCTCTCTAAATGACCAAACCACCTCAACAACCCCTCTTCTGCCCTCTGACTAATACTTTTATTAACTCCACACCTTTTCCTAATTTCCACACTCCGAATTTTCTGCATAATATTTACACCACACATTGCCCTTAAACAGGACATCTCCACTGCCTCCAACCGTCTCCTCGCTGCTGCATTTACCACCCAAGCTTCACACCCATATAAGAGTGTTGGTACTACTATACTTTCATACATTCCCTTCTTTGCCTCCATAGATAACGTTTTTTGACTCCACATATACCTCAACGCACCACTCACCTTTTTTCCCTCATCAATTCTATGATTAACCTCATCCTTCATAAATCCATCCGCCGACACGTCAACTCCCAAGTATCTGAAAACATTCACTTCTTCCATACTCCTACTCCCCAATTTGATATCCAATTTTTCTTTATCTAAATCATTTGACACCCTCATCACCTTACTCATTTCTATGTTCACTTTCAACTTTCTACCTTTACACACATTCCCAAACTCATCCACTAACCTTTGCAATTTTTCTTTAGAATCTCCCATAAGCACAGTATCATCAGCAAAAAGTAACTGTGTCAATTCCCATTTTGAATTTGATTCCCCAAAATTTAATCCCACCCATCTCCCGAACACCCTAGCATTTACTTCCTTTACAACCCCATCTATAAATATATTAGACAACCATGGTGACATTACACATCCCTGTCTAAGACCTACTTTTACCGGGAAGTAGTCTCCCTCTCTTCTACACACCCTAACCTGAGCCTCACTATCCTCATAAAAACTCTTTACAGCATTTAATAACTTACCACCTACTCCATATACTTGCAACATCTGCCACACTGCTCCTCTATCCACTCTATCATATGCCTTTTCTAAATCCATAAATGCATTAAAAACTTCCCTACCTTTATCTAAATACTGTTCACATATATGCTTCAATGTAAACACTTGATCTACACATCCCCTACCCACTCTGAAACCTCCTTGCTCATCCGCAATCTTACATTCTGTCTTACCTCTAATTCTTTCAATTATAACCCTACCGTACACTTTTCCTGGTATACTCAGTAAACTTATTCCTCTATAATTTTTACAGTCTCTTTTGTCCCCTTTCCCTTTATATAAAGGGACTATACATGCTCTCCGCCAATCCCTAGGTACCTTCCCCTCCTTCATACATTTATTAAACAAAAGTACCAACCACTCCAACACTATATCCCCCCCTGCTTTTAACATTTCTGTCATGATCCCATCAGTTCCAGCTGCTTTACCCCCTTTCATTTTACGTAATGCCTCACGTACCTCCCCCACACTTACATTCTGCTCTTCTTCACTCCTAAAAGATGGTATACCTCCCTGACCAGTGCATGAAATTACTGCCTTTGTTTCTTCCTTAACATTTAAAAGTTCCTCAAAATATTCTCGCCATCTACCTAATACCTCCATCTCCCCATCTACTAACTCCCCTACTCTGTTTTTAACTGACAAATCCATACTTTCCCTAGGCTTTCTTAACTTGTTTAACTCACTCCAAAATTTTTTCTTATTTTCATTAAAATTTCTTGACAGTGCCTCTCCCACTCTATCATCTGCTCTCCTTTTGCACTCTCTCACCACTCTCTTTACCTTTCTTTTACTCTCCATATACTCTGCTCTTCTTATAACACTTCTGCTTTGTAAAAACCTCTCATAAGCTACCTTTTTCTCTTTTATCACACCCTTTACTTCATCATTCCACCAATCACTCCTCTTTCCTCCTGCCCCCACCCTCCTATAACCACAAACTTCTGCCCCACATTCTAATACTGCATTTTTAAAACTATTCCAACCCTCTTCAACCCCCCCACTACTCATCTTTGCACTAGCCCACCTTTCTGCCAATAGTCGCTTATATCTCACCTGAACTTCCTCCTCCCTTAGTTTATACACTTTCACCTCCCTCTTACTTGTTGTTGCCACCTTCCTCTTTTCCCATCTACCTCTTACTCTAACTGTAGCTACAACTAAATAATGATCCGATATATCAGTTGCCCCTCTATAAACATGTACATCCTGGAGCCTACCCATCAACCTTTTATCCACCAATACATAATGTAATAAACTACTTTCATTACATGCTACATCATACCTTGTATATTTATTTATCCTCTTTTTCATAAAATATGTATTACTTATTACCAAATCTCTTTCTACACATAGCTCAATTAAAGGCTCCCCATTTACATTTACCCCTGGCACCCCAAATTTACCTACTACTCCCTCCATAACATTTTTACCCACTTTAGCATTGAAATCCCCAACCACCATTACTCTCACACTTGATTCAAAACTCCCCATACATTCACTCAACATTTCCCAAAATCTCTCTCTCTCCTTTACACTTCTCTCTTCTCCAGGTGCATACATGCTTATTATAACCCACTTTTCACATCCAATCTTTATTTTACTCCACATAATCCTTGAATTAATACATTTATAGTCCCTCTTTTCCTGCCATAGCTTATCCTTCAACATTATTGCTACTCCTTCTTTAGCTCTAACTCTATTTGAAACCCCTGACCTAATCCCATTTATTCCTCTCCACTGAAACTCTCCCACCCCCTTCAGCTTTGTTTCACTTAAAGCCAGGACATCCAGCTTCTTCTCATTCATAACATCCACAATCATCTCTTTCTTATCATCTGCACAACATCCACGCACATTTAGACTTCCCACTTTGACAATTTTCTTATTCTTTTTAGTAATCATTACAGGAAAAGGGGTTACTAGCCCATTGTTCCCGGCATTTTAGTTGACTCTTACAACACGCATGGCTTACGGAGGAAAGATTCTTATTCCACTTCCCCATGGATATAAAAGGAAAAGTAATAAGACCAAGAACTATTAAGATAAAATCAAAGAAAACTCAGATGAGTGTGTATAAATAAATGTGTACATGTATGTGTAGTGTGATCTAAGTGTAAGTAGAAGTAGCAAGACATGCCTGTAATCTTGCATATTTATGAGACAGACAAAAGACATCAGCAATCCTACCATCATGTAAAACAATCACAGGCTTTCGTTTTACACTCACTTGGCAGGACGGTAGTACCTCCCTTTAGTAGTATATACTATATTTTCAGTTGTATCCAAAACTACACTTTATGTAAGAAAGGAATTTGCAAAGTTTGCAAATGTCCACAATGGAAGCAATTAAGTTAAAAATGTACTGTGTTATACTAGTGTACTGCCTATATTCTCCAACATTCTACCACACCTTACTTTGTTCAGGATTACTTTCGTAGATATTTTTTTTTTCACAATTACAAGGTCTCTAGTAATATAAACATTGAGTACAGAGGATTCAATACAAAGATGTTCAATCTACATGCACTGTACATGCTAATAGCATGCAAAATTTATGTATATCACATCAAAAAGGTTGGAAAGAGAGGGGTAAATGAGGTCTTGTGGGTGAGGGGCTTGGACTTCCAGCAAATGTGTATGAGCATGTTAGATAAGACTGAATGGAGACGAATGGTTTTTGGAACCTGATGAGCTGTTGGAATGTGAGAAGGGTAATATTTTGTGAAGGGATTCAGGGAAACTGGTTAGCCAAACTTGAGTCCTGGAAGTGGGAAGTACAATGCCTGCACTTTAAAGGAGGGGTTTGGGATATTGGCAGTTTGGGGGAACATCAAAACTGCTGTATCTGAGCACCTCTGAAAAGACAGTGATTATGTATGAGTGATGGTGAAAGTGCTGAACGACGATGAAAGTTTTTTCTTTCTTTATGATTTTTCTTTTTTTTGGGTCACCATGCCTTGGTGGGAAATGGCCGTGTTAAAAAAAGAAAATTTGCATGTCTTCCACAGAGTCTAAACCAGTATCACAATGGGCTAGGAATTGTGAGGTAGAAATGTGCTACTCAAAACCCACTGTGTCCTATGTTATGTAAATGTTGTGATTCCATGAAATCAGAATTCACACTTATTAACTCTTGTTTGCACACACTTTTCTTTCATACATAAAGGAAATTACCAACAAACCTCTGACTGTCTTCAAGAGAGAATTTGACAAGTTCCTTAAATCAGTTCCTGACCAGCTGATCTGTGGTTTCTTTGTTGGATCTGTGCGGCCAGCCTGGTTGATCAGGCCTTGATCCACTCGACCTTGTCTGGGATCAGTCCTTGATCCACCAGAAGGCCTAGTCTGGGATCAGGCTTTGATCCGCCAAGAGGCCTAATGTGGGATCAGATCACGGGGACATTGATCTCCTGAAAACATCTTTCAGGTATCCTTCTGATGTCAGAAAATCACTATACATCATCACTTGCAAGGATATCTATTGATGTTACATTGCTAGCTTTGAGAACTACTTTTGAGATCGTCTGATGTAGAATTTCATGAGATTTTATCTACTAACTCCCCCACATCTTTAAACAATACACAATGCAGTAGCACTTGGAATATTTTTAATAAATTTAACAAGATCATTTAAGTGCCCTTTGCCAGCACATAGATACATTGAACAATGACAAAACTGTGATTACCTCAGCAAATACACTATAAAAAAACAGTGTGTGGAATGTAAAGACAAAACAAATAGATGAACTAAGAGGAACATGGAAGCTGGGAAACTGTCATGTGATAAAACTACGTGCAACTTGGAGTGTTTACCTGTTTAGCATGTGGCACTGCAAGATGAATGTAGTCCATTATTATTATAGTGTAATCATGGGAAAGCACTAAACCCATTGGGGTTACATGGTGCCCGGGAAATGAGAGGTAGTGAAGTTTGATCAAAGGAAGGGGAGGGTACCTCCAATTCCTTAGATCAGAGTCTTTCACTAATATCAAGGTACTATCTTGAAGGATATGAATAGAGTCAAAAAAAAAGAAAAAAAAACTCTAGTCCAAAAGTAGTACTTAAGGAAGAGGAAAGTACTAAAGTAGTACTTAAGGAAGAGGAAAGTACTAACTGATCTTTAACCATCTGGAATCAACCATTAGCACAAAATTCACTTACACTTTTCATATATTCAATCCATTCACCATGACCTTTTTGGTATTCTTTCACTTTTGAAATATCTGATATAACAGTGACCACATCACCCGGGCCATAGGACGTGACACGGGCCAGTGCTCTAGGATGAATAGTCCATCGAGTTGTATATCCTTCATACTGCACACGAACGTCTCCCTTGTCTGTTATGCGATGAACGATGCCCACCTTGTCGAGGAACTATAAGTTCAAAATGACTTTAGAAAGACTAGTCGTGACATATTACATCTTAAAATTATCTCGGAAAATGGCACCTACATAAATATTTCATAAAGCACATTCATCACAAATGAAAACTAACAAAAACCATGAAGATAAATTTAAAGACAAACCTCAGCCATTTTGTGGTTCCAGCCACCATGACCCTCCTGCATTGTGCGCAACTCGTCTACTGTTACTACCACTCGGACTCTTTCTCCTACTGCAAATGGAAGATGACGGGGCGAGGTAGGGACTACTTCATTACTGCTTCCAGATTCTGAGGGTGAAACACAAGTTCAAGTGTGATGAAAGCTGTTACCAGTTATTGCTTTCCATTAATTTACCTTGTACTTTCTTCACATCGGGCATTCTGATGGCCTCTTTAATTCATTATAGCTAAAATAAAGCAGAAAACTTTTAAAGATTTCATTTACAGTTTTCTGAAATTATACCCCCTTATTTTCAACATAATTCTTGAATATGCAAGTCAAGAAGACACTAACCTCCTATATAAAGCCACTTGTCTAGGCTAGCTCAGCATACATATTTTCTGGTAGATCATGCATGACTATTTCACAGTATTAGATTATGTTGACGAACACTTTACAGATAATTAATTTGAATGTAACGTATACATAATACAGTGGAACCTCAGCTTACAAATTTAATCTGTTCCGTGGACTTGTTCGTATCCTGATTTGTTTGTATGCTGGGTCAATTTTCCTCACTTAAATTAACTGAAATGCAATTAATTTGTTCCAGGTGAATTCCTGCTCTCAGGAGGCATGACAAAATAAGCCTAATATTAACTCTACGGCTTATTTATCTGTCACAATCCATCTAATATGACATACATACCTGATATACACTCTAGAATGAATAAAATATGTTATTATGTGGACAGTGGAGGGAGGAGGACTGTGGTTGCAAGAGTGGTCATGCATTCTTGCTATGAAAACGTCAGAGGTGTTATTATAGAGAAAACAGAGTTTGTGAGGCTAACTGAATTAGATCTGGTGTACATGCGACATTTACATACCTTGGAGAAGAAATGCAGAGCGGCATATCCTGTCAGGAGGTCACACTTTTCTTAAGAACTGCTATGTACAATTTTTATGTTTATCTCACTACACTCTTATCTCCTGTGAGCTGTTTTCCGTCAACCATGTCAACAGCAGCTTTTCCATCTTTTCACTGACAGAGGTCCGCTGCTTAGAAATTACAGTAACGCCCTTTGCTGGCGCTACAGCCTTTATAGACTCCATGTGCTTTAGTATTGTACATATACAGAGGCTACGCTTGTACTCACTTGCTAAGTCCTTAACCCTCGTACCTAGTCTGTGCTTATCAATGATTTCTTCCATTAATTCCATGAAAATCATCCTCTTTTTCTTTTCGGCACTGTCCTTTGCACTTGCTTTCTTAGGACCCATGGTTAGAAAAAAGAAATCTGGCGAATTAACTGCACAAAACACAAGGAAATCACGAGAATTCCTTGCACCACGAGGGTAGCTCTGTAAGCACATGTGCCCTGGTAAGCATTGTGGTGGTGTTGTCAAACTAAATTATACTCAGTATGTACATAGTAGGTAGTAGGTTGGTAGACAGCAACCACCCAGGGCTGTACTACTGTCCTGCCAAGTGAGAGTGAAACAAAAGCCTGTAATTGTTTTACACAATGGTAGGATTGCTGGTGTCTTTTGTCTGTCTCATAAATATGCAAGATTACAGGTACGTCTTGCTACCTTTACTTACACTTAGTCACACTACACATACATGTACATGTTTATTTATACACACTCATCTGAGTTTTCTTCGATTTTACCTTAATAGTTCTTGGTCTTATTACTTTTCCTTTTATATCCATGGGGAAGTGGAATAAGAATCTTTCCTCCGTAAGCCATGCGTGTTGTAAAAGTCAACTAAAATGGGCGGGAACAATGGGCTAGTAACCCCTTTTCCTGTAATAATTACTAAAATGAATAAGAAGAAGAAAATTGTCAAAGTGGGAAGTCTGAATGTGCGTAGATGTTGTGCAAATGATAAGAAAGAGATGATTGTGGATGTCCCGGCTTTAAGTGAAACAAAGCTGAAGGGGGTGGCAGAGTTTCAGTGGAGAGGAATAAATGGGATTAGGTCAGGGGTTTCAAATAGAGTTAGAGCTAAAGAAGGAGTAGCAATAATGTTGAAGGATAAGTTGTGGCAGGAAAAGAGGGACTATAAATGTATTAATTCAAAGATTATGTGGAGTAAAATAAAGGTTGGATGTGAAAAGTGGGTTATAGTAAGCATATATGCACCTGGAGAAGAGAGAAGTGTAGAAGAGAGAGAGAGAGATTTTGGGAAATGTTGAATGAATGAGTGGGGAGTTTTGAACCAAGTGTGAGAGTAATGGTGGTTGGGGATTTCAATGCTAAAGTGGGCAAAAATGTTGTGGAGGTAGTAGTAGGTAAATTTGGGGTGCCAGGGGTAAATGAAAATGGGGAGCCTTAATTGAGCTATGTGTAGAAAGAGGTTTGGTAATAATATTACATATTTTATGAAGAAGACGATAAATAAATATACAAGGTATGATATAGCATGTAATGAAAGTAGTTTGTTACATTATGTATTGGTGGATAAAAGGTTGATGGGTAGGCTCCAGTATGTACATGTTTAAAGAGGGGTAACTGATATATTGGATCATTATTTAGTTGTAGCTACAGTTAGAGTAAGAGGTAGTTGGGAAAAGAGGAAAATGGCAACAACAAGTAAGAGGGAGGTGAAAGTGTATAAACTAAGGGAGGAGGAAGTTCAGGTGAGATATAAGCAACTATTGACAGAAAGGTGGGCTGGTGCAAGTATGAGTAGTGGGGGGGTTGAAGAGGGTTGGAATAGTTTTAAAAATGCAGTATTAGAATGTGGGGCAGAAATTTGTGGTTATAGGAGGGTGGGTGCAGGAGGAAAGAGGAGTGATTGGTGGAATGATGAAGTAAAGGGTGTGATAAAAGAGAAAAAGTTAGCTTGTGAGAGGTTTTTACAAAGCAGAAGTGTTATAAGAAGAGTAGAGTATATGGAGAGTAAAAGAAAGGGGAAGAGAGTGGTGAGAGAGTGCAAAAGGAGAGCAGATGATAGAGTGGGAGAGGCACTGTCAAGAAATTTTAATGAAAATAAGAAAAAAATTTGGAGTGAGTTAAACAAGTTAAGAAAGCCTAGAGAACGAATGGATCTGTCAATTAAAAACAGATTAGGGGAGTTAGTAGATGGGGAGATAAAGGTTTTGGGTAGATGGTGAGAATATTTTGAGGAACTTTTAAATGTCAACAAAGAAAGAGAAGCGGTAATTTCATGCACTGGCAAGGGAGGTATACCATCTTTTACGAGTGAAGAAGAACAGGATGTGAGCGTGGGGGAGGTGTGTGAGGCATTACGTAGAATGGAAGAGGGTAAAGCAGCTGGAATTGACAGGATCATGACAGAAATATTAAAAGCAGGGATGGATATAGTGTTGGAGTGGTTGGTATTTTTGTTTAATAAATGTATGAAAGAGGGGAAGGTACCTAGGGATTGGCAAAGAGCATGTATAGTCCCTTTATATAAAGGGAAGGGGGACAAAAGAGATTGTAAAAATTATAGAGGAATAAGTTTACTGAGTATACCAGGAAAAGTGTACGGTAGGGTTATAATTGAAAGAATTAGAGGTAGGACAGAATGTAGGATTGTGGATGAGTAAGGAGGTTTCAGAGTGGGTAGGGGATGTGCAGATCAAGTGTTTACATTGAAGCATATATGTGAACAGTATTTAAAGGTAGGGAAGTTTTTATTGCATTTATGGCTTTAGAAAAGGCATATGATAGAGTGGATAGGGGAGCAATGTGGCAGATGTTGCAAGTACACCTACCATTCGACTTATGACCGAGTTCGGTTCCGAGAAACCGGTCGTAAGTCGAACTTTACTACTGAATATCAACAAAACATTTTTGTAATGACTATTTTATTGTTTTATTTTTGTATTTCATGTTTTACTTTACTTTTTATGTTGTTAGTATTGTATTTTACACTGTAAGGTTTAGGATAAACACTGTGTACAACACAAATAGTTGTTTATTTCCCAGAAATTTGACATAAAAATCATGGTCGTAAGTCGAGTGGTCGTAAGTCGAGCAGGTCGTAAGTTGGATGGTAGGTGTATATGGAATAGGTGGTAAGTTACTAAATGCTGTTAAGAGTTTTTATGAGGATAGTGAGGCTCAGGTTAGGGTGTGTAGAAGAGAGGAACCCTCTCTACTTCCCAGTAAAAGTAGGTCTTAGACAGGGATGTGTAATGTCACCATGGTTCTTTAATATATTTATAGATGGGGTTGTAAAAGAAGTAAATGCTAGGGTGTTCGGGAGAGGGGTGGGATTAAATTATGGGGAATCAAATAAAAAATGGGAATTGACACAGTTGCTTTTTGCTGATGAGACTGTGCTTATGGGAGATTCTAAAGAAAAATTGTAAAGGTTAGTGGATGAGTTTGGGAGTGTGTGTAAAGGTAGAAAGTTGAAAGTGAACATAGAAAAGAGTAAGGTGATGAGGGTATCAAATGATTTAGATAAAGAAAAATTGGATATCAAATTGTGGAGGAGGAGTATGGAAGAAGTGAATGTTTTCAGATACTTGGGAGTTGACGTGTCAGCAGATGGATTTATGAAGGATGAGGTTAATCATAGAATTGATGAGGGAAAAAAGGTGAGTGGTGTGTTGACGTATATGTGGAGACAAAAACGTTATCTATGGAGACAAAGAAGGGAATGTATGAAAGTATAGCAGTACCAACACTCTTATATGGGTGTGAAGCTTGGGTTGTGAATGCAGCAGCAAGGAGGCAGTTGGAGGCAGTGGAGATGTCCTGCCTAAGGGCAATGTGAGGTGTAAATATTATGCAGAAAATTCAGAGTGTGGAAATTAGGAGAAGGTGTGGAGTTAATAAAAGTATTAGTAAGAGGGCTGAAAAGGGGTTGTTGAGGTGGTTTGGTCATTTAGAGAGAATGGATCAAAGTAGAATGACATGGAGAGCGTATAAATCTGTAGGGGAAGGAAGGCGGGGTAGGGGTCGTCCTCGAAAAGGTTGGAAGGGGTAAGGGAGGTTTTGTGGGCGAGGGACTTGGACTTCCAGCAGGTGTGCATGAGCGTGTTCGATAGGAGTGAATGGAGATGAATGGTATTTGGGACCTGACGATCTGTTATAGTGTGAGCAGGGTAATATTTAGTGAAGGGATTCAGGGAAACCGTTTATTTTTATATAGCCGGACTTG